GTTGTTTTCACGAAGCGAGCATTCTGTATTTTCAAATAGGCCTGGTGCTCAAAATAACATGTTTTGCCATTGAGTTATATAGGGTTTTGATTCCAGGAACTGGTCTTTTTTTTTAAATCGAGGGCATGACGTTTTCCTAGATATAAAGTATGTTTTATAATAGTCTTCCCATCACTTTGAGGATCTTAAATGTTTCTCTACAGGAAGGACTCTTTTCTTCTGGGTTCTAGAAACTGCACCCTCCGTGTCCCTATAGCCCTAGGGGTGGCACCAACTCTGTGGTTACCAGCCCTCGGTACCGTACCCCCCCCCCCCATGGCCCCTACCCACGGTGTAGGTTGTCTCCTTATTCAAACCGCCCTCAGTTATCCTAATTTGAGTGTGCCACCTGTTTTCTCTGGGACCCTTACTGATACAGTAATGCCTAGGGAACCTCTTAGTTTGTTAGAAAGTGGGGAGGGAAACTAACATTTATTAGAGGCCCCAGGCATGACATTCATGCACTGGGGGTGGGGGGAGTGTCCCTCAGCCCGGCCTGCACCCTCTCGCAGTCTGGGACCCCTCCGGGGATGGCCCAGCAGTGGGACATCCCCCGAGGCGTCCTTAGTGCTGCTGTGGAGGCTGGAGAGGCTCCTGCCACCGCCGCTGTGCTCACCAGCCATGAGCCTGGCTTCTGGCTGAGCGGTGCTTCCCCTGTGGAAGCGCAACGACGACCAGGGGGCAGCTCCTGCTTTGAGCGTCTGCCCCCTGGTGGTCAGTTCATGTCATAGCGACCAGTCATTCTGCCGTTGGGTCAATTTGCATATTAGGGTTTATTATATAGGCTTTCTTCCAGGTACTCTTCGAAAACACTCTCAGGGGGCAGAGAGAAAACAGCTTTTCCTTTCATTTAATTCTCACAGGAACCCTATCAATTCGTGGTACAGGTGTTTCAAGAGAAGCAGCTGAGGTTCAGAGAGATCTGGTCACCTATCCCAGCATCTGGCTCAGCGCTCATTTTCTTGTCTGCCTTGCTGGAAGGAAATTCATTCATCTTCCTAATGAATATAAATTATAAGAGAGAAAAATCCTTTAGTGGTTTCCTGTTACTGACAGGACAAAGTCTAAAGTCCTTAACCTGCCGCTAATGATTTATCATTCATTCAGTCAGTCGGCTAACAGGTACTGAGTACCTGGTGTGTCGGGCTGTTCCCGGACTGCAGACAGGGCCGTGACCAGGACAGACACACTCCCTGAGATCAGGGAGCTTATATTCTCAAGGGAGACAAGTAATAAATAAATAAAGTACATAGCTTATTTTGGAGGAAAATAAAGCAAGGAAGGGGATGAAGCGTGCTTTTGGTATTGATTGAATTAATATTAATACTGAATTTCCCACTTCGGATTATTCTATTGCCTTAAAACAAACAAACAAACAAACAAACCCCCCCCCCCCCACTCTTTTTGAACAGGATGCTCAGCGGGAAGGCAGAGAGGCACTGGCTCAGTTTGTGGTGGTTTTCCGTGTGGGAGGCCACGCGCTGCTGCGCTTCCTCTGGAACAACCACTGGATGTAAGAGGAGCGGACATCCGAGCTCTGCCGCCCCTGTGCTGAGGAGGACGAGTCCCTGCACAGGGGGGAGGAAGGCCCCCCTCCGCCCCGTTTTCACCGTCACTGTTGGCTTATGCGGCTTCGTTGGAGAGCTGCAGGCTCACTGACCATTTGTCTGTTCAGAGCAACTGCTGTGCCATGTCTGCGAGTGCCCCACCTCGTGGCAGAGCCGCAGGCGCGCTCAGGAGGCGCTGCCAGGGTCCCCGGGGCATCTGCTTCCCCAGGGAACCTGCGCCTCGTCCTCAAACCAGAGGTCACAGCAATGGACGCTTCTCCCTGGCCCTCCCTGGGCGCCCAGCCCCCTGTTGGCCCCACTCTGGGTGCCCATGTCCAGATCCGCAGCCCCCGTTCTGCTCATCCCTTTCTGTCCACCCGTGTTCCCTGTCTTCCCCTTTTAGGAGCATTCCAGGTGTTAAGGAAGTTTGTTGTTATAAACTATAAGTTCTGTATATGGTTGAGTTATTTGTTATTTAAAAATGAAATAAATGTTGTTTTATGGAGCATGAAACATCTTCGCATATGTCTTTTGTGAGGAAGGGATTCCACTTATTCCGGCTCACCTGGGTTCATAATTTCATAGACTTTATTTTTTACTTTTTAAAATATATTTTTATTGATTTCAGAGAGGAAGGGAGAGGGAGAGAGAGATAGAAGCATCAATGATGATCATTGATGGGTTTCCTCCTGCACACCCCCTACTGGGGATCGAGCCCACAGCCCGGGCCTGTGCCCTTGACTAGAATTGAACCTGAGACCCTTCAGTCCACAGACCGACGCTCTATCCACTGGGCTAAACCAGCCAGGGCCATAGACTTTCGATCTTACGCAGCATCATTTGCCCTTCCGAAGGGAAACGCCCCCATTTTTTTAGTCTGCCTCATGCAGCACCTACTTTTTCCATCATCACCGGGTTTTGGCTGACATGGAACAGATCCTGGACTTCTTTCTTTCTTTTTTTACTATTCTGAACAGGTATGTAATCGTATGGTTAAACATGAAAACAATATTAAAAACTTGCAGTTTTTTTATTTTCTATCTTGAATCTCAATTATTTATTATACATCCTTCCAGATACCACACAGCACACACACACACACACACAGCACACACACATACACCACACACACACACACTGCACACACACATACACCACACACACACACACTGCACACACACATACACCACACACACACACACTGCACACACACATACACCACACACACACACACTGCACACACACATACACCACACACACACACACTGCACACACACATACACCACACACACACACACTGCACACACACATACACCACACACACACACACTGCACACACACATACACCACACACACACACACTGCACACACACATACACCACACACACACACACTGCACACACACATACACCACACACACACACACTGCACACACACATACACCACACACACACACCGCACACACACATACACCCCACCCACACACACACACCACACACACATACACTGCACACACACATATACCACACACACACACCACACACATACCCACACCACACACACACACAATCACCACACACACACACATACCCACATTCCCCCCCCCACACACACGGCAGTGTGCAATTCCGTGGTGCTGGGGTGCTGGGTGAAGGGTAGATGCACCTGTAACTGTGCTAGGTCCTGCCACTGCCTCCATGGGGTGAGGCCACTCTGTGCCTCAGCCTCTCCAGCAGATGATGCTGCTAAACTTTTGGATTGTTGTTAAATTAATGGGGTGGAAATGATCTCCCAGAGTAGCTTTATTAACGAGTGACTCTGAACATCTTTCCTGTGTTCAGAGGCCACTGGCCTTCTGTTTTCCGTGTTTGCCCATCACACCCTTTGCTCATGCTCCTTGTATTCCCGGCCTTGTTCTCAGGGGCGCTAGGAGCTCATGCCAGGCGGGGCTAAGCCTTCCTTACCCAGCACCCACCCCGGTGTGCAGCGGAAGGTTAAGGCTTCTCCCCTCCTTTTCTTCCGAGGTTGCTTTAGTGCTTATAACCTCTCCGTTCCCCTCAAGACGGAGGGAGCTGAGGCAGGTGCGCAGAGTGATGGGCAGGGGCGCGTCACCCGGGGCAGCCAGAGGCCTGGGGACAGGTCCGCTGAGCTCTGATGTCCGGGTCTGGGGCTCTGCTGGCCACATGGCAGGTGGACAAAGTCCCCCACCCCCAAGGGGAAGCACTGGTCTTGACGGAGCTGGAGCGGCCCCTCCTATCCATCCGCGAAGATGCACAAGACCCCAGCCCAGGACCAGGGGCCCCTCAGCTCCCCAGACTCCGCAGAACCCCACTTTCATCTCCCTGGGAGCCAGGGCCAGGCTGTC